CCCACAATCGGGGGTCAATCAATTCCTCTCGGAAATGTTCCAGGGGCCCCGAAAATATGACAATTTGGGGCTTTCAAAAGCTTATTTAATCGATTTTAGAGTTTACCAATATGTAAAAAATACATATACATTTTTTTCTCCCCAAGTGACAAATTATGGTTCTTTTTTCTCCCCGATGAACGGGGAAGTGGGGGGCAGCTCATCCCGACAGGGGCCTTGGGCGCTCCTACCTAATCAACAAACCCCAATTTAAATTCACTTCCCTTCCTACTACTACACCATCCCCATTTCAAGGCTCCTGAAACACATAGAGGTCGGAAGTGTGGGGTAGGCTGAATTTTCCGAAACTCTGACAAATTAGCGACACCCGGGCATTTCAAGTAGTCTCACATCATGTAAAAAGTTATTTTTTCTCCCCTAAGAATTTGGTTTTTTTTCGTGACCGGGATGAGGTGGGGGATGTCTGGAGCCAATCGGAATCCACTGGTGCCACCTGTGATTCCGTCCTCATTTTACTCAAAATAACAATATAATTTAACACAATTTTTCCTCTATTCTTAAAATGATAGGGATAGATAAGCTCACTGTGTGTGTTGTATACCCTATATAAACAATTTCATGGATGGCGAATCCAGGATCGATTTTTCACAAATGGAACGATGTACCACCTCAGCCCCAACCATGATGAGGCTGAAGAAAATGTATGATTATGGCATATCTGTCATAGCAGTCACTTGGAATATGAAACAATAGAACTTTATTGTTTTAATTACAAATTCAAATTCAATTCAAATTTATTCGGCATCACATAAAAAAAAAATAATTAAAATGTACAAACTATGGTAGGGGACATCCATACTTAGGTGACACTTTTTTGGTCCTGAAGGTGCCCCCCCCCCCCCATGATAGAGGTTCTACTGTAATTTTATTTACATTGTCAACATATGGGTGTGTTCTAGCGGGGATGAACTTTCCTGCATTCTTAGGAGTTAATTTATAGCGATGGTTATTATCAGAATGATGATGACATAGGCGGTGGAATGAGTGATGGAAGGATTGATGACATCAAAATAAGCCCACTATAAATGTGGCCAGATCAGGGCAAATGCAAGGAGCTTTTTGAAAGGTAGAGTTAGGGTGATAGTATTCGTGACTCTACATTCATCTAAGCACCACCATGGTGAGAATGAGAAAATTTTAAGAAACAGTACCTCTGGATGGCCGAAAATGACACTCTTATTGTAGCAAACTAGCCTGTATTGTTAACCATGCAGAACAAAACAAAATAAGGCTAGGGCTATGATTGGTAAGGAGTTGTTCGGGAACTAGGAGATAAACAGTTGGTAAATATTCTTTGAGTTAATTATAATGTTGCGTTTAAATTTTAAAAATATCATCGAGCTAATTATTTGTTTTTAATTTTCATATGATTTTTACTATTGGTTTTCAGTGAACCACACACAAACCCACGCACACACCCACACTCACACACCAACACACATACACACACACACCCACCCACAGGTAGGATACGTCCTGTACAAAGCCACAGTCATTGTGAAGAATACACGTGCGTTCAAACAGTTAAATCTAGAAGCAGCGTCTTATTTTAAGACTACACAGCTACACATAATATATAGGGCCTATAGTACCATCATAGTCAAAATAAAGCATCAACAAATTCCTCAAGATTCCACAAACGTTTAATAACAGTTGTTTCATGGCATAACATCATACTCGCCCTTCCCATTTATACAGTTCATTTAAAAAATGTTAAGGCACGTACGGTACTTGACAGAGGATTAACAGGTTCTGTGGTCGAGGTGTAGGACAAAGGAATTGGCAAACAGAAAAAAAAAGACATGATGATGTGGTAGAGTAATTTGGAGGGGATCAGTGGCCTTCCACTGGAAAGTTTCTATTTTATGCTGCTCGGAAATGCGCTTTGCTGTCTCTGTCCAATGTGATGGGGTAGGCCTAATAATGGATATTCACAAGAGCAAAGGATTTTTGGATGAAATAATTTTATTTGACCTGGTATCAAATTTTGTTGGGTTTCAACTATGATCTTTTTTTTTTTTTTTTTTTTTTTTTTTTTTTTTTTTTTGTGAGACCAGTTTCAGATATTTTACTTCTTAGGACAAAATTATGCTAAATTTGCCAAAATTATGCCAGCACATGCTAGATGCTAAGCAGGTATAAATTATGCCAAAAAGCGTAATTATGCTAGGTCACGATTTAGACTATTGTACTGTGATTACAGTATTTATTGTTCCGATCCTTTTTATAATAAAAATAGTCTCCCAGAGCGGGAGAGTGTTGGGTGTCGGCTAACTCGTACACATGCCAACTCGTACACATTTTGGCGAACTCGTAGTAAAATTTAGGCGAAATCGTACACACGATTGGTGATCTCGCATACATGACTTTTGACAAACTCGTACCTAAATACATATGCTTGGATCCCGGGGGGATGGGGGTATATCCCCCAATATTTGACAAGGGGGGATGGTCCATTGTATCATCCCCCCCCTCCAATATTTTGACTATGTAGGCCTATAAAATGGAGCTTTATACACTTCAAATGACTGTCACAGTAATAATTTGCACTGTCTTATGCACTTACAAAGATGAAAATTAGCATAATGTATTAATGTTGATAAAAAAATTATTTTATCTGGTACCAATCTATGCTCTTCTTTCCTTAGATGTTAGATGTGCTTGCAAAGAGAACCACATTTCACACTGAAGGGTGTGTACGACATCAGTAATGTTATGTCAATTCCAAGAATGTTTAAGTTTATATCGGTTGATGAGGAATTTATTGATTAGGTCTAGCAGATTGTATCAATTTATTTTGCAAATAATTTTTCCAGCTTCAGAGGGGGGCACATCCTCTGTCCGCACAAGGGCCACATTGGCGCTAACACCAGGCGCGTACAGGGGTCTTGGGTCAGAGTGGGTATTTATTTTCCCGGTTAGTAATTTACCATACCCACCCCACCCCAATCCCCGTATAGAAAACAATACGACATAGGGCTTATCTTATTTATACAAACTAAATATAAGCCTTTTCATCATGGTTTTATTTATTACAAACATATTCTTTCACCATCAATACACATTGAGGCCCTTCTTTTAGGTTAAAACGATCTATCTTAAATTTGTCTTTCTTGAGTTTGGGACTATTATGTGTTTAAATAACTTAAAAGGATAAACCTAAAGAAGCCCTAAAAAATGCACGCAATATTTTTGTGTTTTTAATTCTAATTTCGTCGGAATTGATGAAAACTCCCTTGTGCAATTTTTTAGAGGAAATTGGCCCATGTTAACAAGAAATGCGCGCGAAGCACTTTCATGGGATGAAAAGGGCATTTATAAAGGGCTGGGGAGGATTTTTCAAAGATAGATATTTTCCCTTTGTCCCCCAGTGGTTACGCCATCGGGCAGCATAGATCAAAGGAGTTATGAGAGTTTTTGAAGTGGAGAAGGGGTTGCAGGGTGTTGTGAGTCTGGTCATTATGATATCTTCCTTTTTATTCTTGTCTTTATTTTCCTCTTCTCTTTTTCTTTTTCTTTCCTTTTCATTTCCTCTTCTTTCTCTTCCCCTCCCTCTCCCCTCTTTCTTTTCTCTTATTACCCAGCTCTGTACGACGGCTTGGTCAGCCCGGTAAAAACCGTCAGGGGAGGGGCAGTTTTCCCCATGCCCCCCTCCCGCGCCTGTTACGACACTGGCTAACACGCCAATCATCCCCCCCCCCCAATGAAAAATACTTTTCTACGCCACTGCCCAAATAAGATCAAACTAGCTGCATCATAGGGTTGTCAAAGAACAAACTGCCAGTTTGATAGGTTTGGAGACGGCAGAAATATGCATTCTCAAGAAATTTATTAACAGATTTTCCGTTGTAATAACCCTGGTAAAGTGGCAAATATTCCATTTTCGGGTATTTAGTGAAAAAACTGGGAGGGGCATGCCCCTGCCCCTAGGGTATCTAAATTTTAGAAGTTTCGCCTGCAAATTTATCTAACTTGACAGGCACTGGGCCTATTGTAACATTAATTTATTAACATTTATTAGTCAACTAGGTTCGAGACACGTTTCTTTTTATCGTTTGTTGTGATATATTTTGACTGCAAGTTTATTATTGCTTAAATTGAATGGAGATAGAAAAAAAAGTACCGGGTAGTCAATATTAGTTTGTCATAATCTGTTTTCTATTTATATTTACCATACATTTTCTGACCATGTTTATAATAATACATAAAAAATACATCAAAATATAATATAATATATAATCATCATTTAATATATTATATTTTGATGTATTTTTTATAATAATACATTAAAAATACATCAAAATATAATATATTAAATGATGATTAATGATAATTAAGAAAAAATGTAGTATTTTCATATTGATATATTTTCCTATAAAATTTGCATACCGTACATTTCAATGTTTATTATGAATAACTGTATTAAATTACGAAATTGATAAATATATTTTCGGTACACTTGACTTTTTACTTCTGAGAATTGCAAAAAGAAGATTTTCAATAT